TAAAATTTTTAATTAATAATTAATGAATAATTAAATCAATTATTTATTAAATGTTTAATTCTAATTTAATATAATTACCCCACCCCACCTCCAACACCCCAAACGACTTTCCGATCACCACTCTTCTCCGACGATCGTTCCGGCAACTATTTCGACGACTGCTCCGATTCCGACGAGTATTTCGATGACCGTTCCGCCACGTTTTAAGTCACAATTCAAAATTTTCATAGGTCACAATTTGTTCATCGGTCACAACTTGAAAATTTAAAAGTCACAATTTGTTCATCGGTCACAATCACAAAATTTAAAAGTTATGTTACTTATTTTATGGTCACAAACATCAATTTATTGGTCACAAATTAGTAATTTTTACGTCACACAGCTTGTATTCGTCACAGTTTATCGAATTCATTCGTCACAAACCGACCAACATATTGGTTACAAACAATCAAATCATTTGTGACCATCACCAAATCATTTGTGACCACCACTTTGCCACTGACTTCACGAGCCGCGCCACCATCGTTGACGCATCTTCACCACCATCACGTGTAGCACGACCACACCGGCCGCATGCCGCACATCCAACCATCACACAGCAACACCGCCAAAAACACACCACCATCGCACCGCCGCCTAACGCACCTGACACCCAACCGCTGTAGCCACAAACGCACACCCAACCGCACCGTGGCCGCACACATACATACACCCAACTGCACACCCAACAGATCTTCAACCACCACAACCATCTGATAAATCTAACTCGAAAACTTAAAAAAAAACAGAAATTTCAGATCTGCCCGATTTGTGGGCGCGCGACATCGCAGTGGGAAGAGAAGATGGATAACGAATCGCTTCGATCGCCGTCGCCACTTCAAGGTTAAACAGTGTGAGACGGTGGCAATGGAGGCGGGTGGTTGCTGTGTCACCATGAGTGAAGAGAGTGGAGAACGATGAGCAAGTGGAGAAATGGGTGAGAACAGTGGTGTATGGTGGCAGTTGAGGCGGCGGGCGGCAGTGGTGGTTTCGTTACCGTGTGTGAAGAGAGTGAAGATGGGAGAGAAGACGGCGACTGGGTCTAAGAGGAGAGGAAATTGGACGGGAGGAATGAGGAAATTTAGGTTTTATTTTGGATTAAATTATTAATTGGG